CTGCAGGCGCCTCCGCATGCGGCAGCGCAGTTAGGGTGAGTGTGGGCTCCAGCCGGATGGGGATGAGCCGGGCGTGCGGGGCCGGGGCCACGGGGCCCAGGTTTAGGCTGCAAGCTCGAGGAGGGTGAGCTGGAAAGGAGCGAGTAACGCGACCAGGGCGAGGACCTGGGGCGGTCAAGGTTGCAGGAAGGAGGCTCGAAGGGTCTCGGCCGGGCCGCCGCCTCAGGCCCGGCCACCCAGCTGTTGGGGCGCGAGCTCTGCTCCTCCTGTGGCGGGTCGAATTGGGTCTAGGGGCGCAAGAGCGTAGAGGGGCAGCGCCAGCACCTTATGAACAAGGTTAAGCCGCGACAGGCCAGCGGTGGCCTTGAAATTGGTGTTTGCTGAATACGAAAGGCCAAGGCAGAGGGCCCGAGTGCTGGGGCGAAAATCGATATAGAAACGTGAGTGATCAGAACACGATTTCAGAGCTTTTGATGCAACGGACTCGTCAAAATTAAAGCAAGAAGCATCATGTATATAAAGGATGATAGATGATTAAATCTGAATGTGCGCTATGACCAAAGAATCAGAGCTAAGCGGCATAACTGATACAACACTTGAACTTTAAAATAATCAAATGGTAGCCACTTTCAGAATCAAGTGAAAATAGTAACCACAATTTTAAAAGCACGAAAGACCTAGTAATTCCAAATATAGGAACAACGTAAGGACTACTGTATTAGAAGCAATAGCACTAGTCTGACATATAGAAATAATGTAACAAAATCCTAAAACTGTGGGAAACAAACTGTCGGAGAAAGATGAACTACGAAAATACTATTAAGGGAAGTGTTTTAGTAGTGATAGAATACTATAATATAACGTGTTATTGATACTGTAGGGAACCATTAAAACAAATATTAACCCAAATCTTAAGAGCAATAGTAATATAAATAAAGACATAGTCATGAGAATTGCTGGAGTAATATGACAATTTACGACCACGGTATTAATAGTCACAGGAACATTATAAATAATGGTTGAGTAATAAGAAGTATTGTACCAATGTGATGAAAAATAATTTGAGTATTAAGAGCTACAGCAATATTACACAGTATGACAAAGTCCAAAAAGTAATGATGTGATGAAAAATAGCCAGCAAATTAAGATCTGTAACATTACAAATAATGACAAAGTAACAAGATATTGATTGTCACGATGTGATAAAGAATAGTACCTGACATATTATGAACAATCCTAGCAGAACAAATTATGATAAGATAGCAAGAAGTATCATAAGGATGTGAAAAAAATCAACACGAATTTTATAATTCCAAGTTATGGTAAACAAGAAGCGATTGAAACAGTGTGAAAGTATAAGCAGAATGAAGAGCAAGCAATGGAAGCATTCTAGGGAAACAGCAAAAATAAAAAATAATGGTAGCTTAAAATGACCTACCTAATTACCTAGAAATTGGTAATAGTATTACTAATGTGCCCGGAGGTCCTGGAATGATGCAGCAGCCACAGGAAAACAGCAACAACGTATTTGATCATAACAAATGAACGAATCCAACCAGTGCTTTAACCATACCGTATGAAAGATAAAAAATAGTAATACTTCATGTGATAGGATCTTCTTGATGTTACTGAACTGACCAAAATACTACGCTGGTAATAGGAACAACTAAAATATTAAAAGTAGTACAAAATATTAACTGTTCCCTCAGTGCAAGAGACGTATCACCAGTAACCTAAATGTGAAAAGAAAAATTCTGTCCTCCTTGGAAAACGAGGCAGCTGAACGCGACGGACCCCATGGTAGAGCGAGAGGAGCCGGGTCGCCCCTGCGGCGGGGTCGACGCGGAGGACAAGGCGGGCCGCGAAGGAGCGCGCCGGGCTCGGGGTCCGAGGGGACCTCGTGGGCCGCCGCTCCGGGACAGCCGGGCCGGGAAAGAAGGAAATCGGTGGGGAGCTTCGGAGAGGCCGAGCTGTGGCGAGGTTAGGATGTGGCTCCGTGGCCGAGAGAAATGGAAGAGCAAATCCCACGGAGGGGAAGGAGAGCACCGCGCAGGCCTCGTCGCCAGCCGGAGCGGCGGGCCTGGCGTCGGTGGACATCGGCGGCGAACCAGCTCCGCACTGGACAGCGCTGAGAGCTCAGGCCGCGAGCCAGAGGGCCACGCTGCACGGCTCCGGGTGCGACTAGCGCCCCGCAACCCAGTGACCAGGCGGGCGATGCGCGCGCGGGCCAGCTGCCACACCTGGGACGCGCCGATCCGGGCTGGGTCTCAGATATCGCCAGAACCAGCGCTTTGGCCGGAGCGGGCAGCACCGCAGTCGGGCAGCGTCCCCCCCGTTTGGGAGTTCCTGGGTTTTCGAGGCTCCTCTGCACTGCACGTGGCCCGAAGCGGGTGCTGGCACTGGACATGCCCAGCGAGCCATGCTCCCTACCGGCTGTGGCCAAAGAGTGGCCTGGCTGTCAGCTTTATCTTTATGGGTTTTTCCCAACCCTGTCTGGCCCCGGCCTCTTTTTATCTCCTCGGTTGCACTTGGCTTGTTTACTTTGTGAGTCCCTGGGAGCTAGTCTAAGCCAGGGATGAGGAGCCGGGTGAGCAGGATGGGTGAGGGCCCTGAGCCTTGGGATGCTCAGGGAGATGCAGGGGAGAACAGAAGGAAGATAGCAGAATGGCAGGACACCTGGCCACCTGGTCAGATGTGCAGAAAGTCCCCACCAGAACTGTCCAGATCCAGAGCAGGGGAGGAGCAGGGAGGTGGAAAGGCCAAGCAGATGGTGCCCGGGTACCCTTTGGGGTTGCAGGGCAGTTGGTCCTTGCGGGCTGGGCTCTCTTACCAATATCCCAGAACCTGCTGGCGCAGGGAGCAGGCACATGGGTGAATCGGGAAATACAGCTGTGCCCTGAGCTAGGACTAGGCTGTTTCAGGGACCTGGGCCCTCCCTACTGGCCTGGGGAGGGCCTGTGTCCTCTGGCCCAAAACAGCCCTCTGGCGCTAGCTGGTATGAATATGAGGGCAGGCCAGGGGAGGCCTCTGGCCAAGTTCAGGGCCTGGATCAGAGTGGCCCCAAGCAGTGTGGCCACTTGTGTGAGTAGGGTGCTGTGTGAGGGTGCTGTGTCTGGGTGTGAGGATGTTCGAGCCAGAGTGGAAGAGGGTGTCTGTGGAGTGGGAATGTGTCAGAGCGAAAGCCTTGGTTGGGTCTGGGAAGTCTCTTCCCGAGTGCTGTCTGAGGGACTGGGTGAGCGCAGATGGGTGAGCACTCGTCTGGGGGGCTGCCCAGCCCTAGGTCCTCTCCGCCACAGGTGAGGAGCTGCGGGAGCCTGGGCCCGGCTCTCCTGGCCTGGCGGCCTGGCTCTTCTCTCCTGCATCCCCAGGAAGTGTCCTGGTTGCCCGGGGCCCACAGCGAGGCCTGGACTCCAGTTATTCCGGAACAGCCCAGAAGACCCAGGCCTCAGGCTCCACTGGAGCCGGGCAGGAGGGAGGGACTCGGGGTGCAGCTGGGGCAATGCCGAGAGGGCGGTCCTTCCCCCAGACCTACTCATCACACAGCCCCACACCCAGGGGCAGGCAGACACTGAACCGCACACAGACCCTCCCAGGTCCAGAGCCCGGAGGGAGGAGGCGAGGGTCCTGCCCTCCCCGCACGCTCCCACCCCCAGCTCAGGAGGGGGCGGGGTCCACGTGCGCCAGGGCGGCCTCGGCGCCCCGCACGAAGCCCCGGACACGCTGGGGAGGGCCGCGGGGCCTCTGGCGAGTGTGGACCTGGCGAGTGACTCGGTGTGTGTTGTGCCCGCAGGAGATGCTGCAGGACAAGGGCCTGTCGGAGAGCGAGGAGGCCTTCCGGGCCCCGGGCC